CCATGTTTATCTCATTGATCTCACCATCAACACTTTTGAGACTTGTTAATAATGCACACCATTTTGTATGCACAGAGTAACCATCTTTGAGATGGGAAGGGACTTCCTCCAGCATCCCACAAATGGTAGCACCCAGTAGTGAAGCTCAAGTCTGTCAGATTCTGCAGCCAATGCCTTGTTCTACATCATGCCAGGCTCCCCACTTCATAAGCTTCATCCTAAGTCTACCCGCTTTGTTTTTAAAAATTATGTGTATGTGGGGCTAGGAAGATGGCTCAGTGGTAGAATGCTTGCCTTGCATACAGGAGGCTCTGGGTTCAATTCCTCAGCACTACATAAGCAGAGAAAGCGAGAAGTTGTGTGGTGGCTCAAGTGGTAGAGCCCTAGTCTTGAGCTGAAGAGCTGAGGGGCAGCACCCAGGCCCAGAGTTCAGACCCATGACCAACCAAAAAAAAAAACTGTATGTGCACATATGTGTGTGTGTGTGTGTGTGTGTATTTTTTTGGGGGGGGGCTGGTACTGGGGTTTGAATTCTGAGCCTGGATACTGCCCTTGAGCTCCTTTTGCTCAAGGCTAGCACACCACCACTTAAGCTATAGCACGACTTCCAGCTTTTCCTTTGACTAAAAAGACTAATTATAGTCTCATGAACTTTCCTACCTAGGCTGGCTTTGAACTGTGATCCTCAGAACTCAGCTTCATGAGTAGGTAGGATAACAGGGATGAGCCACCAATGCCCTACCCTCTTGTTTTTGAACACTGTCCTCTCCTGTGAGGTTATTCTGGCTCATTTCCCCTACCTTCCCATCTGACTGTTAGATAGCTAAGGAGAGGTCCAAATCAAGGCACTAAAGAACACCTTCAAAAAGAGAAACCATAGGGGGAAAACCTCAAGCACAGATATTGCAGAAAAAAAGTTAGGACTCTGAACATGCCAGCATAGTCATCCTTCTAGTTTTCCTGTTGTTGCAAATTCTAGGAACAGAGAAGGTAGGCCTCACTCACTTTGACTCCAAAGAGATGTCATCAGGTTTTACATATAACTCAGGAAAGATTTGAACAGAAACTTAACAGAATGTCCTAGAGCTGGAAAAGCTACTTCCCTGGACCAAATTGAGGGTGTGTGTGTGTGTGCGAAGACTGTAAAATGGACTTGTAGAGCTTCCCACCTAGCGGCTGGGCTGCAGCTGTTCTAGGGCAGATTGTGGGGGCACAGCCAAGTTGCCTGCTGGTATAGAAGAGAGACTTAGTGTGTGTATTTTTATTATGGACCATTGGATGTGTAAAAATTCTCATATCCTAGGATTTATATCAAAGAAAGCAGTGTGATGTCTAGGATAAAATGTGGGCTTGGCAATTAAACATCCTGGAAACTCAGTGTCTCTTTTGCTGTGTGATACTGGGCAATTGCTTTTCTCTTCTTTTTTTTTCCTTCCTTCCCTTCCTTCTCCCTCCCTCCCCCCTTTCTTTCTTTCTTTCTTTCTTTCTTTCTTTCTTTCTTTCTTTCTTTCTTTCTTTCTTTCTTTCTTTCTTTCTTTCTTTCTTTCTTTCTTTCTTTCTT